TTAGATACAAACTCATAGTGACATCATTGATCCTTGAGTTTTTGACATCGAGTTTGACACATTGGTTATTGAAACGTTCCCGATCTGGATCTTCTGCCCAATTGAAACTTTCTTGTCCAGATTTTTTTACATACCCCCTTACAACCTTGCTTGATTCTCATCCCTCCCATAAGTAGATGATACGATAAAGCTTGAAGTATAACTCGAATATTAGCGATTTAAACCATTTCGGACGCTGAGCAGCAGTCCTTTATTATTATAAATCGCATAATATTCTCGTTATATTAATTGCTAATAGGTTGTCTTTTAAAAATTAATGTAATGAAATAAAGTGCGTGATAACAATATTTGAAACCTTAGTACAGTTGGAGAGAAAATAGTTTGGTCGTCACTTTTCTGACACTTTAATGTAATTCAAGCTTTAACGTTAAAATGAATGACAATTTCAAATTAATGACAGCAATTATATCTTTCTATCAAAAATACGTATAACTTGTCAACTACGTTTGGCAGTAGCTAAAAATAAGGTTAACAGTACTAAAGCATGCTTTACAATTTAATGTCACTCAAGTGACATTGACGACCAAAGTATTTTGTCTCCAACTGTAGACATTTTTAGAACATTTTAAAAAACAAATATCAACTAAAAACAAGTATGATTTTTAATTGGTGTGTAGTAAATCTTGTTCTTTGCGTTGTTGTATTTTAGCTTTTCAAGACAATAACATACCATTGGTCAATTTTTAACACCCAAGTCTGATACATAGTCTCTCTCAACCACCGAGTTCTTGCAAATCTAAAACGTTTCCGCCAACGTTAACAAGAAAAATTGATGATACGATAAAGCTTGAAATATAACTTGAATATTAGGGCTTTAATTAATTATTCTCGTTACATTGATACATAACTGTTGTTAAATACATAGGTACAGTCGAACAAAATGAAAATGACGCCTCAATAAACCAGCCCCTGCTGGGTGTAGACTTTCCTTTTTAAAAAAGAGAAATCTAAATAATTAACAGTTTTAAAATAATGGTATTGTTAAAGTCTAAATTTTGATACTGTTGACGGTGTTCAGCCATTCCACGATAACGGACGGGACACTTTGCAAAAAAAATATATATTGTTCAAATAAATTTAGAAAAACTGTCATCCTAAATACCAATTTATACGAATGCATAGTTAGCTTATAGTTACTAGAACTTGAAACCACAGCACTATTTTTCTATTAGCTTCACTTCATATTAATAGTAAATAAAAAAGACTGATAACGGACGGAGCAAGAAAAAATTGTATGATTTAGCAATATAGGATTTTTCTTTTAAATTCTGCAATTTGGCATATAAATGGACATTGAAACTTTTGCATGTTAATTTTTGAATGCTATCCTAATGCGGAATACTATAATCATGAGCATTGTAACCATAGAAGAGATGTCTATATTTTTAAATTGGATAACGGATGGGACATAACGGACGGGACATAAATTAATTCTAGGGTTCATATTTAGAAAATAATTTTATTAACCATTGAAACCGACAATCAAAGACTTACAAAACATCAACGATAACTGACAAATGACATAGAAACTTAGGCTAAGTGAGAATGCTACATACATCTGCTGATGATTCAAAAGTACGTTTGATGATTAAACGATGCGGACTTTCGGCCTTAAAACAGTGTTTTCATTGAACCTGAGGGATTCTGGATACTTTTTGCCATCTTCCATTCAACATTTCTTTAATCTTTTCTATTTCGCTTTTGGTAATTAACATTACCTACATGCACATTAGTTACTTTAGTCCTGGCACATTGGTAAAAGTCATACGCACTATTTATTTCCGATTTTCTTGACTTTACGTCCATCCACACCAATATTTTAACTAGACCTCCTACTCCATCTACAGTCCCTTTACCATGTGACGTGGCAAAGAAATTCCATTCCGCGGAGATGCCGAAATCAGTCGGAAAAAAGCATAAGTTTGAAAGAGTATATTTATTCTTAAATTGTGCTGCACAATCGTCAGAAAAAATGCAATCTTGTTAATCTCTTTAAATTTATCTTGTAGTACTCTTATAATTTTCTTTATGAAAACATAGACGGCATATTTACTATGGGTCAGGTCATCACTAACAGTTGCAAATGATTCCGTAGAGTTGGTTAACCAGGCAACACATGTAAAAATTGTTACTTGCTTGTGTGACCAATGGGCAGCTTGTATCTCATCTTGTGGCACCAAAGAGTAATTTTCAGCGAAGTCAACTTGCATCACGACTTCATTCAAGCTGATACTTTCTTTTGTCGACTGAAAGTACTGTTCTAAGACTCTTTTTAAGTAAAAATGAATTTTGAATTGATTTAGTTGATTCGCAAGAGTCTTTATGCGTGGCGTTATACGTCCGAACAAAATTGATAACGGACGGGATATTTTTATTAACTTAAGAAAAAAAACTTTAATGACTTTGTAATATGAACTAAACCTAGGATATCAAACATCATTTATTTGAACTAAGTAATAAGAGAGAAAACCAACTCGTGTTTTCCCTACAAAAGTTTTGATGGGAATTTTTAAATGTTTTTGTTAACGGACGGGACAAAAAAATTAAAATAGTTAACACAAAAACTATTTACACTTACCTTAATAAAACTGCAAACACTTTAAAAACACAATCAATATTACCTCTGTAAAATGACATTCGCTTTTGGTTAAATTCCTGTAGTAACCAAAACAAGCACCTAGTTAATTATAATGGAGTATTCTTAAATAAATGAAATACCGCTGCATGTACGGAAACAATAAGTACCTAATATTAAAATTAAAATTGTGACAATGATACTGAAACTGCTTGACACTTAAATTAGAACGTTTAATCTACTTAATTTCACTTAAGTGGCTTAGATTAGATTCTGTTAATTTTTTCCAATGTGGTTTACTTTTCTCGTGGAATGGCTCACTTCTTAAAAAAAATGTGTAAAAAGTCTATTGAAATAAACTTTATTGAAGATGTTTGGATACCATTTCTTGGCTCCAAAAAATTTATCAATGTTGCAACATTGCAAATATCCTAGGATACAGAAAATGTCCAACTAATATTCAATTATTGGAAACGGTAGCAACAAAAAAATCAATTTTCAATGTTGTTTGTTCTGTGCATCGCCGTCTCCATAGAAATAATCCTTTTCTCGCTTGGGCATTTTTTGAGTTCAACTGATTCCCGTTGGCGCTTTAATCTGGGGAAAATTTTTGACAAATCCAGTTGTTTACCTTAAAGGGTTCAACCTCATAATATCAATTCTCCCTGGCGTATCTTGTTTTGTTGTATCCTTCCTTCCCAGCTTTTATTAATTGCGTTATTTTTCGTTAATAATTAAAAATTATTCAGTTTTTCCTTAGTAACCCCCGTAACTAAGAAAAAATTGTAATCACTGCTCCAATGCATTTTTTACGAAATGCCCAGGCGGGATACTGATACATTTGATTAAGGAGGCGGTGGTTCTGTGAAATTTGAACGATTAAAGTCAAAAAAGTTTCCTATTTACGAAAAATATCTGAGTGAAATAGTTTTTTAGTAAAAGAAATTTGTGCAATATTGCCGCTTTGTGCTGTTAGACAAACTCTTTAAATTTTAAAAAGAATTTATTTAGACTATTTTTGGAATGATGGTCACAATGTTTCAATAAAAAAGGACGCGCCTGTTTCAATCGTGGGCGCCTTTTTTTCATCACCCTGTATAAATGAAAATATTGAATTTTTTTAATGAAAAATTTAACAAACCATTTCTTAAAGAAAATTATGCATTAATAATGACATTGACGAAAAAACAAATCATTATTAATTTAATATTTTTTTAACTGTTTTTTCAAAATAAAATTAATTAACATAATTTTTGAACGAAATAGGTTTTCTCTATTTTAAACTAGATTTTATGTAAAACAACAAATGAATTAAACTATTGTTTATTTGCGAGAAGAAAAATTAATTCCACGTGTGCCTTTACCACGAGTGGTGTAATTCTTTGAGTAGAAGCGAAATTAAAATTTAATTCAGAATTAGGTAAACTAATTCGAATTAAGTTGCCATTTATTTTTTATTGACAAACGTCAAGTTTAAAATTTAATTGCGATTAACACGTTCTGTAAACCGGCCCTAAGTTTTCTATTAGTTTTGCAATTGTCATTGAAAACGAATCAAAATTATTTATTTAATTAAACCAGGAAAAAAAACGGCAAAATTATTTCAAATATTTTAGTTCTGCTTTTATTTTTTGATAATTGTAATACCTTTAAATTAAATAAAAACGTTTAGTTTTATAAAAACACAAACAAAACAGTTCTTAAAAAAAATTATGCATTAATAATAAAATTAAATTAAGTAACATAATTTTTGTACGAAATAGGCTTTCTCTATTTTAAACTTGATTTTATGTAAAATAAATAATTTATAAAATAATTTTATTTTGAAACAGTCAAAAAAATATTAAATAAATAATTATTTGTTTTTTCGTCAATGTTATCATTACCTAATACATAATTTTCTTCAAGAAATGGTTTGTTAAATTTTTCATTAAAAAAATTACATTTTCATTTAACTTCACTTTTGTCAATGCAAAATAAATGGCGACTTAAATCGAATTAGTTTAATAATTGTGAACTAAATTTTCATTTCGCTTTCTGTAAACCGGCTCCTAAAGGAATTTATTCTTGAAACTACGTCAAGTTTGAAATCCGAAAATTTACGATCTTGCCTGCTTGCGGCATCCACAGCAGGGGCTGGTTTATTGAACCGTCATTTTCATTTTATTCGTCTGTACTTAGTTGCCAATAAGGGGGAATTAAAATTTCACAAATGGTGGGTGCGCCGGGCGAGAACGAGAATTAGAATTATTTTTTATTATATTACTTTTATTTTGACTCTTTAAATTAATGAGTATATCTTAGGCAATTTTTAATAAATTCGAATTTGTACTTTGATTATCTCTTTTGAAAATTTTTACTGATAAATGGCTTTTATATTTTTTGTCATTTTCTTTTTTTAATTTCATATTTTAATATCGTTAAAATATTAATTGTTTAATATTCATTTTAATTTAATATTCATCGTCATCATCATCCATATCCTCAATTTCGGCCTCATCATACTCAGCTGGTGCCTCTTGATACTGTTGGTACTCCGAAATCAGATCATTCATATTCGATTCAGCTTCCGTAAATTCCATTTCTTCCATTCCTTCACCCGTATACCAATGCACAAAAGCTTTCCTTCTAAACATTGCTGAAAATTGCTCTCCGACTCTCTTAAACAACTCTTGTATTGCAGTCGTATTTCCAATAAATGTCCCACAAATCTTCAACCCTCTTGGCGGAATATCACATATCGCGCTCTTCAAATTATTCGGAATCCACTCGATAAAGTAACTACTATTCTTATTCTGAATGTTGTACATCTGTTCATCAACTTCCTTAGTCGACATCCGTCCTCGAAAAATTGACGCTGCGGTCAAATACCTCCCTCTTCTGGGATCACAAGCACACATCATATTTTTTGCATCGAACAGTTGATGCACCAATTCGGGGACCGTCACGGCTTGATACGGTCTCATTCCCCGGGATACCAGAGGCGCAAATCCGGGCATGAAAAAATGTAAACGCGGGAAGGGAACCATATTAACCTGGATTTTCCTTAAATCTGCGTTCAATTGCCCCGGAAACCGGATACAAGCCGTTATTCCGGACATGGCAGCTGAAATTAAATGATTTAAGTCAGCTAAACTCGGAGATGTTAGTTTCAGCGTCCTGAAACAAATGTCATGCAATGCTTCATTGTCTATAATATATGTCTCATCGGTATTTTCTACCAAATGGTGAATCGACATTACAGTATTGTATGGTTCGACCACCGTATCTGAGACCTTAGGACTTGGAATAATTGAAAACGTGCTGATAATCCTGTCAGGGTACTCCTCGCGTATTTTCCCCAATAAGAGACATCCCAGTCCGGATCCGGTGCCTCCGCCAAGGGAGTGCACGATTTGGAATCCTTGCAAGCAGTCGCATCCTTCCGCCTCTTTCCGTGTAATATCGAGAACGGTGTCTGCTAATTCCGCGCCTTCGGTGTAATGGCCTTTGGCCCAGTTGTTACCAGCTCCTTCGCGCCCAAAAATGAAATTATCGGGAGCGAAAAGACGACCGAAAGGTCCCGATCTGACTGTATCCATCGTTCCTGCTTCCAGGTCCACGAGGACTGCGCGAGGAACATATCTGCCACCTGTGGCTTCATTGAAATATACGTTTATCCGCTCTAACTGTAAGTCAGTGTTGCCATTGAATTTTCCGGAGGGGTCGATGCCGTGCTCGTCGGAAATCACCTCCCAAAACTGTTAAATTGTAAAGAATAGTATATTAAAATATCAATTACAGAAAGTGTTTTTTTTTCTATTTTGCACTTTTATTCTTAAAAAAAGACAACAAGAGTTTTAAACTATAAAACTTGTGTTGTCTTCTACATTTTTTCCAACACTAATATTGGATCAAAAATTTTACTACATTCACAAATTGTTATAAAGAAATTTGTCAAAATAATGTCGAAATTGACAAAATGCCAAGATAAGTAAAAAACACTATAAGATTAGTGTTGGAAAAAAATTATTAAAAGAAATGTCGTCACTTGGTAACACGTAATAGTGTTATTCATGAAGGCGTCGGAAAACTCAACTCAAACTAACATTCGTTGGACATTAATTCTCGAGATTTTTTCGTAAATTGGTAATTTTATTGAAAGCGTAATTTTTTTCCATGCCGTTGGTCACCAACATTAAAAACAAAAAATACACTATTCTGCACGCTAGAAAACTGTTAACTCACCCAAACAAGTTTATTTATAGCCTTGTTTAAAACGCAAAATAGAAAATAGTTATTTTTGTTAGTAAGTACCTAAAACACAGTTTTTGCTTAATTATAAAAATAAGACGGTTTTTTTGACGAAAACATGCACTTTAAAATGTATTACACAAAAACTGACATTTAGAAATATTTTTTACTGCCGCAAAGAAGAAGGTACAAGCTATAAGGTTGTAAAATTTTTTGAGTGTGTTTCATCTGCAAAGATAAAAAAATAAAGGCGTTTGTTAAAAGTTCAATAACTTAAAAGATTTAAATGGAACAACTTATTTATTGTTTTTTCATTTAAAAGATTGTTAAATTGTCATTCTAAAATTACAGTGTTTTTCTTTTGGTATTCTTCTTTTGTCAAATGTATTTCACTATTTGTCAAAACTATTTCCCATCTACGTCGCTTTGACATTAATACATCAAATGAAAGTTTTGAGTAATAGTGAAATACATTTGACTAAAGAGGAAAACCAAAATAAAAACACTGTATTTACTTTTAGGTATTTCATAACTAAAAAGATATTTAACTTAACGTCAAATATTAAAAAAAAATTACTATTGTTTCAGTACCCAAAAAGTGCACAGTTGCACAAGAGATGGAAGAAATATCACTTAATAATCACATTTGTGTTAAACTGTATCCATTATTCTTTATTTTTACAATAAAATAATTCAAATTCCAGTATTTATAACGACTTTTACATTCTCTGAATTACTATGCTTGCCATTGTATCAACAATGCTCAGATATTGATAGGCATTGTTGCTACAATTAATAGTGAATGTTAAATACCCTTCCATTTATCAATTCTAGACATAAAAAGTTTATTTTTTTAGATAGACAATTTATCAATCTGTTAGATGCAAAAATAAAAAATAGGGTGTTCCCTTTAAATGTTTTAAGTTATTTAACTTTTAACAAACTTCTTAATTTATTAATCTTTACAAATGCAAAACTCTAAAAAATTGCTACAAATTTAAATTCTCTACTTTCTTCTTTGCAGAAGTAAGAAAAAATTTGTTCTAGCTGTCTTAATTTTTGTGTAATAAATTTAGAAAAAGTACTTGTTTTTGTCAAAAAACGTCCTATTTCTAAAACTAAGCGAAATCTACTAATAAAAGTTTAGCGTAAAAACATTGTTTTAAAAGGCTACATCCAAAAATGCAAACAAACATACGGTGTTTCATTAAAAAAAAGAAACAAGTTTATATCGTAACTTATTTTTGGGACATGCTGTATGGTTGAAAATAATTTTAGGTGATGCACTAAATTAGTATCTATCAATGCCCTATACAATTTTTTTATTTTACCATTTAAAGGTCACTAATGGACTGTTTCAACTCGCTGGGACACCCTGTTTAGTCAAAAAAACTTTTGTGTTAAAATTAAATTTCTTCCAACCATTACAAAAATTTTCCACAGCCATCTGCGCTTGGAATAGAGTAATAAAAAAATCGAAAATTTTACGCTTAATGGAAATGATTAATACTACTCCAGACTGGAATCTTTCCATAATTACACAAAATTTTCATTATTTAAATGGTGCTTATAATTGAGTTTAGTGCATCAGAAAATTAAACTTTGATTGATTAAAAATATAATGCTTAACTTGCTTAACAATAATTAAAAATAATGACTTACTTTTGAGCCGATATTATTACCAGCTTGACCGATCTGAATATGCACAATTTCACGCATGTTACACTAAATTTAAAAAATAAACACAAAAATTTTGACAAATTTTCAAAATACAAACACAAATTTGACAACCTGTTGCCCAGCGCCTCCGCCAAATTGAACCCTGTTTTCTTTCCAGTGATAATCACAGTCTGCTGGGTCACCGGAAGCATTGTCGGTTTCCTTCCTCTGATGGGTTGGCATAAAAGCGCCCCCTCGGACGGCAGATGTTTCTTCCTAGGCGTCATGGACTACAATTATTTGGTATTTTTGTATTTCGGTACCATCATAACCCCTGCTCTCCTCTTGGCGGCTTTCTACGCTCACATATACCAAGTCGTTCTCAAACAAGTAAGTACTGAAAGTCGGCAAAATGTACGCTTTTATTCGTACCCTTTCAGTTAAGGCAAATCGTCACAATGAACCCCGAAAACGGCTCATCTTCCAACAGTTGCTCATCGGGAGGGACAATGCTGCGAGTGCTCGGCGCTGCCCAAAAACGTGAAGTGAAAGCGACGCAAAACCTGGCCATTATAGTATTATTTTTCATGATTTGTTGGATTCCCTTATATACCATCAACTGCATTTTAGCCTTCTGTAATGACTGTAAAGTCGACTCAAATTTTATGTTTTCGTGCATCATTCTCTCTCATTTAAACTCGGCCGGAAATCCCCTCTTGTACGCCTACCATTTGCGTGATTTTCGCGCAGCTTTGAAAAATTTCTTTTGCAATTTGTTCGGTTATAGCGAGGCCCAGGTAGTCCCAAACCACAAACGCACGTCATATATTAATTATAGCAATTGTAGAAACAACAGACTTTGTAACACAACATATAATAACTCGCAGATTTACTATCGGAAAAAATCTATCGATCACGTTTTAATCCCGAAAATCACCACCATTGTTGCGGCCACTGCTGGAGAGCCGCCCAATCATGAAATGTGGAACATACCAGAGGCCTCTTCGAATTCCAGCGACTCTTTGAAACACAACGAAAAAATCTCGATTGTAAAACCGGAAACTCCTTACCGAGTTAAAAGAAATGACGTCAGTTTGATTAACCAAGGGTATGTTGAAACTTTGAGCCTTGACGATGATGACGTGTTCATCGACGACACTTTTCCCTTCAATGAGTTCAACTACGACGAACTCGATACCAATTTGACCGAGAAACTCAAACGAAAAGTTAAAGTCAAAAAGCTATCAAATTCCTCGCCGCAACTTTCTCGCAATTTGTTTTTTGTGGAAGACAATTGTAAAACTCGGTTTATGAGGAGTTGCAGCTTGGTGGAAAATGAATTCAAAACGAAAGAAATGAAAGCAAATCGAATTACTAGTTCGTTTAGAGAAGTGTTTAAAAACAAGCCCAAGTTGGAGAGGAGTTTGAGTGATGAGGGAACAACTTCCAATGAATCGATTCCACGTAAATCTAACGGCAATGTTGTTCGGAGTTCTTGTGGTAGTTAACTCATATTGTACAAAACGTAATTTATTACCTATTTATTGTGTGTAATTTAAAGTGAACTGTCAATTATGTATTTGTAAATCACAAGTAGACTGAAAGAAGCGTATCCCGTGTTCGGCAAGTAGACAGTCTGTGCTCGCTGTTAATTCATTTCAGTCATTTGTTGTACCTTTTGCTTTGTAAGTAGGTAAATGATTTTGACTATTTTCAATATCTTCACTTACTTACAAAAATTATTATTAGTGTAAGTGTATGTATATTTTGTATGTATTTTTCTGTAAATATATTTAATCAAATTATTATCTTGTAAAATATTACTTTCATAAAAAAATGAAAGACGTTTATCGCATATTTTATCATCATTTTGTAACCAGAAACTTGGTGTAAATCACATTGCTAAAACAATCTATCAAAATTAATTAAATAAGCAAAGGTCATTTGTCACCAAAAAAGTAAACATCTTTCAGAGCAACATTTTACTCTTCAGTTCCACGATTAATCGATTGATTGATTAAAAAACATTGTGAAAGCTTAGACGTTTTAAAAACGTCAAAACCGATTGTTCTTTTTATCTGCTCGCATATTACTCCTCAATTCTCATAAATGATGACTTTTAATAAAGGCTGAACTAAATGATTGAAATATTATTATAAATATCTGTTTCTAAAACATCAAATTTACTGAAATATAGACTATGAAAAATAAATTAAGCTGTTTACACTGGCGGACATGGAATTTTGGACATCAAATTTATGTCAGTTCAAAAAATGTCAATGCAAACCACGCTTTATTAATTGACGTTTGAAACTAAAATTTGAAAGTTCATTTAGTTGAAATTTATTTTTGGCATCCATTTTACGAAACAATAATACCAGCAATACATCTTTTTATATAAATTCAATAAATTATTTTGATTTGTTGTCATTTTTTCTCTAGCTTCAGGATAAAAATTACAAAAACCGAAAGTGAGTTGCCTAAGGCCCATTTTAAATTTTGATGTCAGTCGAATGACAAATCGTCCAAAATTCCGTGTCCGCCAGTCTAGAAACTTCTTTAATATTTTCTTGCTAAAGTACCTACCTAACTAATCGATCAACCTTCTTCAAGTTTTGTGATATTACGAGCTCTTATCACTTCTGTTGTCTGCAAAGGCATTATATACAATGAAAAAAAAATGTCTTGTGTGAAAGACTGACAGTGACAGTAGTGACACATAAATTCTAAAATTTTTAAAAGAAAACATAGAAACAACCTGAAAATTATTCCATTTAGTAGACAATGAAATAGTAAGTGTACGTTTTTCTTTTGAATAGAAGTGTATAAATAGTATATAAAAAACAAGTGTTAAACACTCTTATTGTGATACAAGTGTTAAAATACACGAGTATCGGAGAATCACAATGAGAAGATTATAACATGTGTTCTTTATACTACTTTTTTCTGTTGAGCGCTTGTTAATTTATTGTTATATTTGAATGGTCGTGTACCTATAAACTATTGCTTGCCATTTAAAATGGAATAAAAATCTCCTAAATATTTCTAATAAAATTTCTGTCATAATAACATAATATTTTACTTGGAGGTTTCTTTTCATCCACTTTACTAACAAACGAATGGTGATGTCTCAGTAACAAATCTAAAAGTTAGAGATTTTATTATGTACAGTTACGGAATTAAAATTTCGGGCAGTATTTTTCTGTCACTTCAAAAAGTTTACTGTAAACTATCTTTTACTGTCATCATGACACATTTGACAATTAAACTTTTCTGTCAGTGACGCTATTTTTTAAGTCAAAATGACATAAACATGACAAGAGTAATGAGGTTATTAATGTAAAGGTTGTTGTATTAGAGTTTACATTGTGAAAATGACAATACTGCCAGAAATTTTAATTCCGCAACTGTGCAACTATTTTTGTTGAATGAAGCTACAAATATACAGGGTTATTCATAAATATGAAGCAATATTTGAACCTCAGAAATGACCTATAAAATGATGTTAATTTAAATAATAACTCGTGTCCGATCTCTATTGATAAGAATTTTACAGCCCTCGGAATGTGGGTATGGAAATTTATTTTTTTTGTAATAACTTTGGAAACATTTGACCAAATATTATAAATAGTTACTTGCGAGAACATACCCTTTAAGCCAGTAAATACAAAAACCGGATACATCTACTCAATTTCCGGTTTCAGCAGTTGCAGGTCACATTTTCTGTGTTTTTCCGTTTTTTTGGCCTCTTAAAACTAATTTTTTATTGCTTATATCTAATTTCGATTAAAAAACGCATAACCTTTTATACCACTAAAATGAACCGTTTTAAAGATATTTTAATTTAAAGTTGAGGACTGCACGGCGCTGAAAATAAAAAATATGAATTTTGAATAAGTGGTATCCACAGCAACCAATGACCATGGTCACATAAATCCCTGCCAGGCATCTGTTAACTTTGACGATATTTTTTTGTGAATTTTTTATGAATTAAATGCTACGAGATCCATTTGGATTTATTCTAAGTTATGTTTGGAGTCTGAGGTAAACTCTTTTATTAAATATTTTTGAATAATCGTCTAATAATCGTCCAATCTCAAATTGACAGATGCCTGACAGCAAAATATTAGAGTTCCTATATTTATTATGCGTCAGCCGACGTATATAAAAGAAAAAATAGAAAACTGACATTCAGTGTCCCAACTCTTTTAATATAGGAACTCTACAAAATATGTGACCATGGTCATTTGTTGCCGTGGATATTACTCATTCAAAATTCATACCTTTTGCTTTCAGTGTTGTGTAGTACTCACTTAAAATTAAAATATCTTTAAAACAGTCCATTTTAGACGTATTAAAGCTTATGCGTATTTTATTCACAATTGATTACTCTATTGTATTGACCAAAAAAAAATTAATGTCAAGAGGCCAAAAAAACGAAAAAACACAGAAAATATGACCTGCAATTACTGGAACCGGAAATTGAGTAGATGTAATCGGTTTTCGTAATTACTGGTTTAAAAGGTATGTTCTCGCAAGTAACCATTTCAAATTTTATAATATTTGGTCAAATGCTTCCGAAGTTATTACAAAAAAAACAAATTTCCATACCCACATTCCGAGGGCTGTAAAATTCTTATCAATGGAGATCGGACAGGAGTTATTATTTAAATTAACATCATTTTATAAGTCATTTTTGAGATTCAAATATTGCTTCATATTTATGAATAACCCTGTACTTGCAAAAATGATTGTAAAAAGACAAACAATGCAAAACGTTTTTATTTTGAATATGTCAGATTTTAAATTCTTTCCGAGCATATTATTCAATATTCCTATAATGAAAACAGACTTTTCTTCTTCTATAAAAGCATGCCAACACTAGAATGAACTTTAACTTAAAGGCCGATTCACACAAAAAGTGCCATTAATGTCATTCAGAACAAATTTATAATTTAATCACATCAATAATGACAAAAATCTTTGTTTGCTATACTATGTTAATTATGTTGTTGATTTTAATTATTTTTTTATCTGGGGTACACAGTTATTTGAAAAAATAATTTTTAGCGAAAATTGATCTTTCGATGCACATTAATATTAAAACGAGTTATAAAAGCAGTTCAAATTACTGTTAAAAGCTCGATACTAAATGAGTTTCGGAATCGCTTAGAGTAATCGTTTTAGTTGAAATTTTGATATTTTTTTAAAGATTTGAATTTGTTTTTTTTTTGACATGAAAAGCACGTTAGAATGTTTGCTCTGTGAAACAGTGCGGGAATATGGCTAGAATTATGAGTGCAAGAATTGGTCACTTCGCATGTGGGAACCATTCTGAGGTGCTGTATTTCTTTTTTTTTTCTCATTTAATTACAGACAGATATAAAAAATAAGTAATACAACACAAATGGTAAATATTAATGTTACAATATCAATGAAATGACGTATTAATGAACAAAAAAATTGTATATTTTAACGTCGTAGTGTAAAACCGAATATACTTACACTAAAAAAGTATGTCGCTTCAGATTTTCGCCTGTTGTAAAATTTGAAAATATAAATAAATTATTAGTGTAAAATTGTTTTATTGTTCATATTTTATAAAATTTCTTTCTACGGTTTTAACAAAATTTCTGAGTTGTTTTTTCGGGAGCCCGTGTGATCGCAAAAAATTTGTAAATTATATTTTTCTTAAAATGTTCAAACATAAAACCAAATATTTTCAAAAAATTTTAATTGAAAACTTCTCTTAATAAAAGGTTTAAATTAAAAATGTTCATTAACAAAAAAGTACGCACGCAAAAGTAAAATTGACCAAAACATTTTCAAGTAAAATATTATTTATAATGTCTCTCTCCTCCAAGCAAAACGGGAATATCGCAAAGCGTTCAAAAACAAAATTGTGGTATCAGGAGCACAGCAGTGCAAGGAGTAGCGAAAACGTGAACGTCTGCGCATCAAACTGACTTATGACGATGTGCGCACTGCTTCCAGCTCTTGCTAATTATTCTTGCGCAGGGGCCCTTGCCCAAGGATGGTAGGCGTCACGTGGTACATAGACATGCTGTGCCGTCACAACTGGTCTTTAATCGCGTCAAATACATGGGAGTTAATAGGAGCAAATACCAAATAATGCAAATAAAAGTGAATTATGACTTTAATTTGTTAAAATCGCTTTTGAATTTGTAATGAAATTATTGTAGTTATAATTTGAGGTAATACAAAATAGAATTTTCTATTTATTTGTGTCCAAAAGTTGAGTAAATCTGTTTTCTAATCGCGGTAATCAGACGTAATAATTCCAATAATTCATTGTTCTCCATTTTAATGATATATAAGACATTAAGAATAGGAACAAATTTTTTACTTTTTATATTGACGGGTATTCTTTACGTTTTAAAATGCTCAAACAAAAAATGATTTAATAAATAAATTGCCATTGAAATTTTTTGGTCACAAAGTCGTGAAAATATCAATAATATTCCTAGGTATACATGCAAAATAGAAACGGGTTTTATTTTTGACAATTTTATACGCAATAAATTTTGTTGATAAATAATAATACAAAATCTAATAATGGATAATAGGTAAAAAAATGTAAAACAAAATAAACCATTTTTATAATAATGTAATGACTTTAAAGAAGGAAGAAATGAGCAAAACGACTTTCAACACAATATAAATTTTATTTCATCAAATAAAAACATTTGGTAGCTGCACTAAACTTGAATTTTGAAACCAGCGTAGGTACAATCAAAATTCAGTTAAATGATATCCCAAAAATCTCGAAACTGAGACTGGAAATGTGACGTTCGAGGACGTATTAAGTACCTCCTTTCGCTTCTGCGAACCTGTTACTCACTTTTTGTTTTTGAACATTTTAGCAATGAAATTTTTAGGATAATAGTTATATATTGTAACAGTGTGTTAGATAGCGCAACTAACACATGACTGCAATATAACGTTTTATCCACAATCACTGGCCCAAATTATACCAAACTTAAAAATTAAACTGACATTTAAACGTCACGCCAAATGTGCTTTCGGTTAAACGTAGTAAGCTGTTACGCGGTGCGCTGGTTACTAACAGTGGAATAAAATTACTTTATTCCACTACTGGATAAAGGGGTACTTTATACGCATCTAAAGTGTGGAATAGTCTCTTTATAGAGTGATTGTGGATAAAATTATTTTGCTTCTATTTTATTTTGTTTAAACATGTTTTAGCAACGAACATTTTACACAAAAGTGTCTTTGATTTTGTATTTTTTATATTTACTATATAAATAATTTGTTTAACACGAATTTTGGACTTAAATATTTTATGAACATTGGTTTTTACTTTGAATTATTTGACAGTAAACCACCCTCCGTTTTTTTCTTGTTATAGAAAGAACACACAACATAACATTTGTTGGAAAATAGATACACACACTTTACGGTAAAATATGTACAAAAAACCCTAAAATGAAACAGAAAACATTTGGTATAAAAATCAGAGAGTACATACATTGCTACTTGATTTTTTGTTTTGCTGTTTATTTATTTTGTATATTCATTTAATTTCTTGTAATTGTATTTGTTTTGATGTTTTTTCTCTGTCGTTGCCTTTGTTTTGAATAGTCTTTTTTAAATTTCAAGTCAATTTATATTACATTTTGTTTTTCAATTTGCGCGCTATTTTGGTTTAATTTTGGCGGAAAAAGTGTAACCTTTAGATCTCAGCAGTATTAATAGGAGACTTGTCTACTAGAAAAATGTTTCCTTTGATGATTTTCTTTAATTCCTTTTAAAAAAATTACCTAATTTTGAAAGTAAAAAGCAAGCCAAGTTAGAGTTTAAATTTTGAATGTTCGAAACCACTGATAGAAAAAGTTTAATTTAACAATAATTGTAAAACTTCATAGCCTTATAATTTACATTACTAATTTGTTCGTTAAGTTCATATTTAGAAATAAAATTAGTCTCTTTTTGAAAACTGAAGTCTCCGAATTTCCGCCTCAAAACTGTTCTTTACGTATTTACTTATTGAGACAAAAAATCTACCTTTTTGTTTACGGTACCTAGTTTATTTATCTAATGAAAAGTCGAACATGCAAGAAAAAAGGCCAAAAAGACATGGAACTTAATAAAGTCTTTATATTTAAACGTTAGTTATAAAGTCTTTATTTATGTACTTCTATATTAGAATCTTTAACAGCAGAAAAAAGAATGACCTAAATAAGTAATCAGCAAACTGATAATACTGCAAATATTCACACTCATTACAAATCTCTTTACCAGTACTTAAGATTTTTTCTGTACATAAAAAAAACTGAAAATAACACTGGCATAATCACATCGTGTTTAAAAAACTGTCATCACAATTTGCAAAGACAAAATAGTAACGGTATAAAAGCTCCAATTGCTATAAAAACAGGTAACATAACTGAAGAATCGTCCATTGCATATGGATCAGGTTGTTTAGGTCCACTAGGTCTAAGGTTTTTTGGAACTACTTCAGGTTCTTCCTTGTACTCTTCAATTGGATCAGGTTCTACAGGTATTGGCGGTAGTTTGGGTACGTCCTCAACTTTCCCTCTCATTACGTATATCGCGTTAATTTTTGGGTTATCCTTATAACCCTTGATGAATTCCACCCTTATTTTCGACCCTCTTATCTCAGACTCTTCATTACCATAAATCAGGCGCCCTGAAAGTTACAGTTATTACAACAGTGCCCTAAAAAGTTGGAACTTAATACCTTTTGATATTTTAAATGGTATGTACTCGTCATGAGCGACTCCTCGCCCAACTTTCTCAAAAATATCCAAATCTGTGACAATGGTGTGGTCTCCGTTAAGGACGACATCGAACACCTTTTGGTTGGGTGCATTAAAATATACTTCGGAAAACTTTAAAACAAGCACATAATCTCCGTCTGCATTCACAGGGATGTCGTATCCAAAAGTATTTGTGTGATATCTCTCGGTTTGATATAAAATGTGGTCGTTGGGTGGTACTCTCCCAATTAGTAGCCGTTTGCCGTAATCCGATGCAATTCCAATTTTGCCATGCAAAGGATCTCTGTCGTATCGAATCCCATGGGAGTCTGTGTGAGCCTCACCTCCACAGTTTATGGCATAAAGAATTTGATCTAAACATTCTATTTCGGGGACGTAACTTAGGAAACTTATTATCAAACATAACCACAATTTCATGATAAGTTACGAATTCTTGAGAAATGGCTTGTTATTGCACTAATCATAAACGTGGCAATATTTAGAATATCTTTATCACCGGCGGCACATTTGCCTTTTACTTCTATCACTCAGTTTTGTAAGGTTAGGTCGTTATCGATCTGTCATGATTGAAGCACCTCCAGAGCCCTCTACAGCAACACCACGCCAGTGGCGCAACAATCACCCGGGTTAAAGAAATAATTAACACACAAAATTCGTTTATTATTTATTTTACATCTATAAGAACTACATAATTAAGACGCTTATAAGAATGCAACACACTGTAACAATATTATTTTTATAACAACATTTATAGAAAGAAACATTTTAGGCCATTATAACAACCATTCTGTACTTAGACGAACTTCGCACCAAAAACAAATTTTGTAAAAAGAAACCAAATACCATAAAATAATTCGCAAGATATGCTTATAATAAAGTATCCCCATTCTACATTAAGAAGAATACTGGTACTATTGTTAATAAAAAATTACTGGTAACTGTAAACTAAGATAACTACTTTTAATGCAGCTTAAGATCACAAGAATTAGTTTTTCAAAGAAAACATTGTAAACAAACAAATAATTGTAAAAAATAAAAACCATAAAAATTGTAACTCTAAAAATAAACTTTTCAATTCTGTACAGATTAGTATTGCAACAAAACAGCATATGGGTTTCAAAGTGTTAATTAGCTTTTGTGATATAAAAAGAGGAAAAAAGCACTTTAGTGCAAATCAATTTAGTAAACTTAAACTGCATTACTGTTTTTTTTGAAAAATATTGTAAAAGAATAAAGTTGTAAGTACTTTAACTAATTTCTTTCTATGGTACGTCCACAAACCTCCTGTTTCTCAATATTTCTTTTTTTTATTGTAGGTACACGATTTAATATGAAAAGAAGTATGAGACAAATATATTTGTAAACATTTGGAAAATATTTAAGATCCTCAAAACACAAAACACACTGCCGTTTTGGCATTTTAAAGATAAAACCAGCGAATTATTGTAAGTAAAACATTGTGAAAAAACTTCGAGAAAATTGACATTATTTTACCTTGTAATCTGACTACGCACCGTTACAAAAGCAATAAAAGTGTAAACTGACACATTATTGGCAAAGTACATTACACATATTATGCAGAACTTTATTATAACAATTGTAAAGACAAGACACTCAGTAAATAATTTCACTTTAAATCTATCCTAAAACTACTTACAAATAGATACACATTTACCGTAAAATGAAGTGATAAATCACAGACAAAATATTTATGTTCGTTCACCTAATTTTATATACCTATTAAAAGGTATAATTAAAAGCATTCAATTTAAAATTCTTTTTTGATATTTTATTATGTGCGTGATTTCTGGCGTGGATGGTAACGAATATTTATAAGAATTTCACTACAACTAGAATTTTGGTTATTAGAATATCATTTTCTTCACCCATCCGCCATAATATAACAAGTTCGACAAAGTTAAACTGAAATGCATAAAATTCGACCTCCGTCTGCATCAAAGTCTCACTCAACCGTTTAGTAAATACAGGGCGTTAAATAAAACTTTAATAGATCTTTACTTACCTATAAAGATGTGTGCATTTCGTTTGCGCGAATTGAGCCACCCTGTATATTGTTTATTATCAGATGACATTTGCACGAATAATGAATGATACACATATTATATAAAAGTTTTGATAATACATAATAGAATATTTTAGAAACACAGATTAAAACATGAATTTGTCTGGAATGGCACTGTTAAGATTATTTAGAGAACAACAAAATGTGTGTAACAAGTAATAGTGCATTTGACACAACCACAATGTATTTCATTATACAAAAACTAATATTTCAAAAATATATTATATTTGTATTCTGAGTTACTTACTGCTTACTCTATTGTATACTGCAACATCTCATCTCAAAAATTATTTACAACTAATCTTAAAATTACATAATCTACAGGGCTGTTCCGTCTAAACCCCACATTAAAAGTATTGCGAGTTCGAACAATCATATTTGTTTGAAAATTGGTAAGTCCTAAATGAAAATATTTTCAAGATGGCGGTCCGGTTATACCGGAAGTCGGTCTCAACTTTCTTATTTTAAATGAAAAGCTATATTTTTTATTGCGTTTTTGGATTAATTGGGTCATTTTAAAAGAGTTTTCCCTATACTTAAATTTAGTCGTTTTTGAAATATTTGGAGTTTTTCAAAAAATTTTTGAATCTGCACCTTCCACTTTAAAAATCGGTAACTCTGCTATTTTTTAAAATTTTGAATTCGTTTTTTCGGGCGTTTAAAAGATTAAGTTTAGATCTTTCTTCCGGTGTTTTCAAATTTTGAAAAAAAAAATAACAAACCCTAAAATTTTAAGGTTAGTTTTGTAATAATTCAAATACCAATAACTCAATTTTTCCAAATGAAATACCCCAATTTGTATTTTACT